ATAGTCCCTGTGGTATCTGTTACTTAAAGCCTGTAAAAGTTCTTCTTTACAAAAAGATATCTTCCTACAACATGTTCCTCAACAAAAATAAGTGACCAAAAGAACATGGCCTGGAATAACTTGGCTGTTATACATGGTCTGTCCCAAAAGTAAGTGTACTGATTTTTTATTTAATGACTGAGCAGCTTAACATATCATTAATTGATATTTCATGTTGCTACCGTGTTTCCCCGAAAATAAGACATTTGCAGAAAATAAGACCTAGCACAGGTTTTGCTGAATTGTGAAATATAAGACCTCCCCCTGAAAGTAAGACCTAGCGAAGTTTTTTTTTAGTCGTAACGGTCATCGACAGATGGTTGAAAGCCAACGGTCATGACAGATGGCCATTGGCTTTTTGAAAGTACAGCCACTGATTGGTCAGCAGACAATTACGCCACACGGCATGATTTGCATAAGACTATGGCTTGGGAATCACAGATTTGCATAACGTTACGGCTGGTGATGGCTAATTGGTCTGCCTGGAATTACGCCACATGACATTTGCATAGTGCTACGGTTCAGTAAGCACTAATTGGTCATCGAGTCCGATGTTGACGCTATAAAAAGGTGACAGTTCGACACACCGGATATACGTCACTCTCGTCTAAGTTCGACTTGGGAATTTTTTTGTTCAATAATAAATGTGAATTCTTCTTCCTGGAAAAAATAAGACATTCCCTGAAAATAAGACCTAGTGCGTTTTTCAGAGCAAAAATTAATATAAGACACTGTCTTATTTTCGGGGAAACACAGTAGATATCTTAGAAGCATATACAGACCTGCTTCAAGTTGATTGGTTAAGTCAAATGTGGACAATCTCTGTATATGACAATGTTTTAACACATCATTACATTTGAAATGGAGAAAAATCTCGAACAACATTACACTATAAAAGTTTTGTGTGAAACTCAAGAAATCTGCAACTGAGACATTTGCAGATTTAACGGAAGCTTATGGAGATGCCACTTTATTGAGAAACATGATGTTTAGATGGAACAAAGGTCCATGTGAAAGACAATGCTAATCGTTTTTTTTTTATAGCTGTGGAAATGTCCAGAAAGAATTTTTACCTTCAGAACAGACAGTTAATCAGGCCTTCTATAAAGGTGTCTTGGAACAACTTTGAAAACATGTCAAGCATGTCCACAGGGACATTGCAGATGATTGGATGCTGCACCATGATAACGCCCGTGCTCACGTAGTGGTATCAATTCGAGAGTTTTTGTCCAAGAAAAAATCCCCACACTCCCACAACCTAAATACAGCTTGGATCTAGCTCTGTGCAATTTCTGCCTTGTTCCCTGAGATAAAATCCAAGTTGAAAGGCCATTATTTCAGGTCAGTGGAAAACATCAAAAAAGTTGTAACTGATGAACTAAACACTCTTACAGAAAATGACTTCAAGTACTACCAGTGAAAAAATTTTGGAACCACTGTGTGACCTCACAAGGGTTGTACTTTGAAGGAAATCATTTATAGTTTAATGTAACTCTTGTGAACTTTGAAATGAAAAATCAGTACACTTACTTTTTCATCCATGTTGAATTTCAGACTATATACTGTACTTGTGTTTACAAAGGACCTCCTTGTCTCAGCCTAAATAAACAGGTAAAGGAGGAAATCCCAATAGAACCTCAGGAGAAATACCCAGGGTATTTCTCCTGATGTACTAAATGCTTTGATATTACTGAAATAAAACCAAACACTACAAAAACCTAAGATACCAGTGAGAAAATTAAATGCAAATTGCAGACAGACAGGCTTGTGTTAAACAGGCATCATCAGGCAAACAAACTTGAAAATTATCTAATAATAATCAGTGTTAAGTAGCAGTTGTCAGATTACTGAAATAAACCTGATTTCAGTAATAGCAAAGCATTTAGTACATTGCAAATATTACAACTTTTATCTGAGAATTTTAAATCAAAGAAAATACTATCTATCTATCTTCTCAGCAATACTAGCTATTTATATTAATAAACCAAACACACCTGATTTGTATTTGCCAAGTTATTTTCTTTATTCGAACGTTTTCGGCCAATTTGTATAGGCCATCTTTAGGCTTTAACGTTGTTCGTTCCAATGGAACCAATAGGTTCCATTGGAATGAACAACGTTAAAGCCTGAAGATAACTTGGCAAATACAAATCAGGTGTGTTTGGTTTATTAATACAAAGAAAATACAGTTGTACCTCTAACTTTGAACACTTTAGAATTCAAATGCTAAATTCAAAAAAAATTTGTTTCAGAATTCAACTGCACATGTAGTGGAAAAAAATGCCGGAAGCATTAAATCCATCTGTTGTGACCCAAATTGTCTCTCACTTTCACTTGTGTTATGCTCAAATGTTTTCAGGACTTTTTTCTTTATTTTTGATGTGTTTAGTTATATATATCATGTGTTGTTCATCAATTTTTAACAATTACTTCCTGCAATTTTTTCTTGTCCACAGCTTTTGGGTATCCCATACAATTTAAACACTATGAATTTTTCTACTATTTTTATAGCATTACAGTAGAGCATTGATTATCCAAAACAATTCGAGACTGGGGTTGTTAGGATAACTGTTTTTTTTTTTCTGGATAACTGATCATTTACAAAAAAATATATTAAACACAAAACTGTACTGTATATAATTTGTATCACACAGCTTACAAATACATACCTTACATAATGTAGTACATTAAACTAGGCCTACAGTTTAGGTTGGCAGGGAGGGGGAGAGTGCTGCAATGCCACAGTACTAGCAGAAATTTGAATTTTCTGACAGGAGTGCTTTCAGTTAACTGATGTTTCGGTTGATTGGTATTTGAATAATCAATGTCTACTGTATATCCTTTCCAAAACTTGTAAAACATAATATGGGTGATATACTTTTCATCTGGAAACATCTCAACTTAATTTTATCTAAACAAAAGCTTCCAAATAAAGAATACAATCTCACATCAGCAATCATGTTAAATTTATCAATTGTTGTGTTTAAATCACATATCTATGTTGAGTAATGACAGCTGTTAGTTATAATAGTTTTTGCATATTTTTATCTCCTTTTCAAATTACTGGAGTAATCAAATAGAAACAAAACTTTTAAATACCAGTTGTTAAAGTTCTGTTACTGGTAAAGGTTTTGTTTTTATTTGATATGCAAAAACTTTCTGCTCAACCTAATATGACCTTTACATATTAATCATGACATCTAAAAAGTGTGTGGAAGCAACAAAGTCTAAGAGGACGATTGTAATTTTGACAATCATGGTGAAAAAGGAACTTATCAAAAGTGGGATGTGAAAAAGGAAGTTACTACATGTAGTGGATCCAGTGATTATGTGTAAGATGTTGAAGTTGGTGTGTAACCAATAAATGTAATATTAATTTTATTAACAGTATTTACTGTATATTCTGGTGTATAAGACGTCTTTTTAACCTAGAAAAATTTTCTCAAAAGTCGGGGGTCGTCTTATATGCCAGGTGTTGTCTTATAGGGCAAGTATATCCCAAACTCTATATTTTAACTGTAAAAGTTGGGGGTCGTCTTATACGCCGGAATATACGGTACTTATTTATTGTTTTTATTTTATAATTTATAGTTAGGGCATTTAATTATGTTATTTTTATCTATACAAACATCTCCAACCCGATATACAATATAGCTACAACCAACAGACTGCCGAAAATCTATCGGGCTAGTTTTATGCTAATTATTAAATAAATTACGTAATCAATTTGGTACTAGAGGTAAGCGTTAGGCGCCATCTCTTATTAATATTAATAATTATAAATAAATTNTATATATCGGGTTGGAGATGTTTGTATATATATTACGCCTTGCCGGGGCTTGCGATGGCCGGTTGAGAGCCGTATGGGAAGTAGGACGTGGGCACTGAATGTGTCCCCAGCCGGCGTTGTAATAACCGTCGATGGTTAAGTAGTTAGATTATATACGCTGGAAGAGGAGATCGGATCGGAGGTCCGGGTAGCGTAACTGGCAACGCATCTGCACGGTAAGCAGGAGTTGTGGGTTCGAGTCCCGCTCCGGGCCGATTTTTTCTCCCAGCGGTTCCAAATTATTTAAAATTAATTAAAATTATTTATAATTATTAATATTAATAAGAGATGGCGCCTAACGCTTACCTCTAGTGCCAAATTGATTACGTAATTTATTTAATAATTAGCATAAAACTAGCCCGATAGATTTTCGGCAGTCTGTTGGTTGTAGTTATTTTTATCTTAAATTATGTGTGTTTGTTGTTTTTAGTTTATTGAAATGGGTATTGTTCAGTGTCTGGAAATGGATTAATTCATTTTCCATTATTTGTAATGTGTAAAATTACTTTGGACTTTGAACAATTTAGAATTGGAATGGCAGTTTGAAATGAATTAAATTTGAAGTATGAGGCATCACTGTATATTTATTTTACCTTGCATCAGGCACAATGAATAGAACATTTCTTATACCAATTATATCAGAAATCGTTGCTTTTTAAATAAAATAATTAATATATTAACATTTACAAATGTGTTTAATGTGAATTTTTTTTATATTTAGTGAAAAAGTTTAAATGAACATAATGTTTGAATATATTTATTGAATGAAATAAAGATAAAACCTTTAAATACTAGTAACAGAACTTTACTGGTATTTAAAGGTTTTGTTCTTATTTGATTGCTCCAGTAATTTGAAAAGGAGATATTATAATACATTTATTGAAATATCATATTAGTTAAAATAATAATCATAAATTGATATTGAAAATTTTTTAAGTGCCTTCATTTCCTTATTACATTAGCTACTTTTTCCTACTTTCTTTCATTACAAATTCATAACAAAGATTAGTTTGCAAGAAAAATGAGAGAACTAAACTGAACGAAAGCTAATTATATGTAAACTTGGATAAAATATTTTTTATATGTAATTTTATGTAAATAATGTAAGATTAATAGTTTTTTTCTACTGTAGTTTCTCCACATAAGTATCAAGAAACAGAAGTTAATATCCATTATCGAAGTCCTATTCGTAACTTAGAGAAAGAATATATTGAAGAAGAAGAGCTAAGAAAAAGGCAAGAAACAGCAGTGAGTACATAAATTTAAGATTATTCATTATAAAAAAAATGAAAATATAAAGTACATATCATACAGATAACTCAAGTTAATACAAGATAACTTTTTGCAAGTTAGTGTATAACTTGCAAAAAATTGCTAGATCAGAAATGAATCATTGCATAATCTATCCCACTATATACTCTGTATCTCCAGAGCAGCTATTGAAAGCATAATCACCACAATGCTACTGGTATATATTTAAATAAAAAATCAGCTTTAATAAAACCATCAATAATTGTCATCTAAACAAATGTTTTCTTCTGTTTTAAATGGTCATCATCAGGTTTCATTGTAAACGGAATGTTAGCAAAAGAATGTAAAATTCCAAAAACTTAAAATGTTATGTCATGAAGATACATGCATGCTCAGTAATGTGTTAAAAAAATTCATTTTTCAGCTGGATTCCAGTTTTAAAATATTAAGTTCATATCTTCTTTTTCTTCTATGTAGCTTCTCCAAGCTGGAGATTGCTAACAATTGATTGCCACTCCTCCAGATTTCTTGCAGCATGAATTAGTTGATTCTTATTAATTTGAGTCCACTCCGCTATATCTGGTAGGTAGGTGCTCCGCTGTCTTCCCCAGGAACGGGTTCCTTGGATCCTGTCCTGCAGTATGATGGGAAGCAGTGAGTTGGTGGCCCAGATGGCAGGGCCACAGTACCTCGCTTTGCATCCCACTACAATAGGAAACAGCTGTCGCTCTCCCACTCTGATCCATTCCAGCATGCGTGCATTGTCACTCGCTCTGTCCAGCTGATCTGTAGCATGTGGCAGTAGCACCACATTTCGAATGCTGTCAGTCTTTTCTTCGTGCCCTTATTCAGGGTCCACGTCTCACACCCGTACAGCAAGACAGACCATACGTAGCAGCATAGGACTTTAAGCTTTATCTCCAGGCTTAGTTTCTTATCTGTAAGTTTTCTCTGGAGATTAGAGAAGGTTGATTTTGCCATTTGGATTTGTGTTTGGATATCCTTGTCACATCTACCATCTCTTGTTATAATGACTCCAAGATATTTGAATTTGGTTACTTCTTCCAGTAAAGTACCGTTTACAAAGATTTGGGAATTGTCCGCTGCGGAATCTTTATTAATTTTTATCTATTTCATCTTTTTTCTGTTGATATGCATGCCATATCTTGCACTACCTGATTGAAGTAAGTCTAGTATCTGTTGGAGCTCTGTCGTGGATGTGGCAATGCATGCAAGACCGGATGTTATTAATATTCATTCCTCCGACTCTGATCCCCACATCCTCGCAGAAACATTCCTGTGTTATCAGTTTGGAGAAGACATTAAAAAGTGTGGGTGATAATACCAGGCCTCGGAGTTGCTCACTTTTCTCACTTTTCAGGTCATTTTCTCATTTTTCTCATTTTTTGGTCATTTTCACGTGCCTAATTAAGACATGGGACAAACCAAAAATAATTTAAAAGCCAAACGATCTGCTGAATTATCGGACTATCGGAATAGAATTTTCTGGAAAAAAGTATGTGGCTCTGAGCGAGACTCAAAATCACAACTGCCGCTCAATGTTGTTGGGTTATAGGAAACAAAAATTTATTTCACGTATGTAAAAAAAAAATCCTTTATACACTTAAAAATCCCTCTCATTACAAATTCAGAAGCCAGTGTTGAGATTTTTATTATTCGTCAAAATCTATTTCTTTCGAATTGCATTTCCTTCTACAGAGTTTAAAAATAAGTATTCTAAGCATTCCTGTGTTTTTGGCTGTTTTCTAAGAAAATTACTAAATTCCTTTTGCAGGGGAAAACACTATGTGGAAGGATTAATCTCTCAAGCTGACAAAACTGCTGTCGCTTTTAAATTCAAAATATATAATTATTAAAATTAACATGAGACAGTAGCATAATCTCCTACCACTAGACAAATTATTTTGTTTCTGACCATTTAGTTATTTTTCTTATAGCCCAATAATTTGGCAGATTATTTGGTTTTAATTAACAATTGGGTTATGGAGTTGTCGTTTACAAAAATGATTTTTACTTGATTTATCTTTAAATAATTTCATAAACTTGAGTTAAATAAAGTTATTTTAATGATTTCATAGCATATTGTTAACGTTAACTCGCATCTATGTCTTCCTAAATGTATGTTTAAATTGACTACAAGTATTATTATTCCATATAGTAAGTATTATTTTCATAAAATGTGTGATTACTTTACTTGTGAAATATCTATTTTTTAATCTTTTCTCTTATGCTGATTATAATTGTGCATTAATTGAGACTAAAAGAATTTTCATTTTCATTTGAAAATGTAAATTCATATTTACATATAAAATTTACTAAATAAATTAAAATATTCGAAGTGTTGTAAAAAGTACAACATGTGATTTCTTGTGAGAAAAATTTTCACATGCTTCCCAAAAGGTTAACAACGTTGCAACTGTGGTGATACACCAGTTGTTTTTTTTATATTTGTATTTTGTATTAAGCCTATGATTAAGTTTCCTCGATCTTTTGTTTAACACTTTCTCGAACTTTCTAACGGTCCTGTTTCCCTGCTGGTGGTAAAACATTTCTGAGAACTACAACGAAAAACAAGGGTGTGGAAGTAGGCCCCGAGGCAAGGAGAGAAAGGGTGAAGGGGACTTTTGAGCTAGCGTTGGGAGAGGACGGACAGTGCGAGGAGATCCTGGTCGCCGTAACGAAGGAGAAGGGAGCGATTCGAGAACAACGAGAGCGAGACATCATGGGAAGGAAGGAAGATCACGGTAGTTCATTTTCATCGATGTGAGTGGACTCTGAAGAAAAAGAAGAAACACGGGTACCCCACCAGCAGTCTTCCCTTGTTTTTCCTATTCTTAATATTAATATTTTCCCTTCATTCTACTATCTTATTTAGTATATAGATTAGGTTAAGATAGGTTAAGTACAGTTTTAAATTGTCGCGAAGTACTGTTGCACTCTCTTTCCGATATAATTATATGTTACGCGAGTTGTATGTATCGGAGTTGGGATCACTGAGAATATTGTATACTTGCACGAACAACAATAAAACTTTTGTTGTAGACCACTTTCTTTGTGTTGTCCATCCACGTGCTC